CGGAAGACTTAGATACCAGTGATCCGAACAATCAATGTTGAAATGCAGCCCTGAACATACATCATCATCATCGTTACATGGTGTGAAATGGGCCTGGYGCTTCACACAGGAAGACTGCGCCAGCCCATACCATACACAGACGAAGAGGAAGGGGATAGACGAAGAGGAGGGGGAAGATGGGAGTGTCGTCAACACCAAGTCCTCGGCACAAGCCCAAATAGGCCCTCGTCGAAATGTCTAAATCCCAAATGTCAAGTCTGGATCCAATGTCGTCAAGTCTCAAGTCACAACTCTGTCTCTCTCTGTCGTAGTCTGAGAAGTCAGGTGGCGAGAGAATGAGAAGAGAAGGTGGACTTAGAAGAGGAAGAAGAAGAACTCTCTCTCTCTCTGTGTCCWGTACTAACCTGTGAAGTTGGCGCCTTGATGCAGGTACCACGAAGATGGAGCTGGAGCGATGGCGCCACAGGTAAGTAACACTGGCCTCCGCCAGTCTCTCTCCCACTCTACGATCTACCACCTACCAGCGCCCAGCGCTGAAGACTACAACTACAGCTATGGCGCCCAGCGCCGAAGACTACAGCTAGCGCTACTTACTACTAGCGCTGAAGACTACTGCAACGCTCCTCCTGAGTGCTGCGGCCGAATCCTGAAGACTACCACTGCCTACTGACACTACCTACCCGTGAAGTGCATGGGAACTTCCTATGTACAACGGGTGTGCCTCCTGAGCCTGCCGAAGGGAGGCAGGGGCTGCTGCTGCAGCTCCTGCTCCCGCATCCCTGTTTACGTGCCTGAGTCTTAGGGGCAGGTCGAAACAATGAGGGCCTGAAAATGGCCCTCCGTTTCAGGCTGAAAACTCTGCGTCTGAAAAGACCCAGAAATAGGCTGAAACGGGGTAGGGCCTGCAGGCCCTCGTTTTTCAGCTTCCAGGCTGAAACGAACGGGGCCTGTAAGCCCTAAGTTTTAGGCTCTTAGGCTGCATGTCCGGGACGGGCCCTGCAGGGCCCGTGTGGCTATGCAGTATGCCACACTGCACCTGCATCAAGCCATTTGTTCGTTTGTTTGTTTGCTTTTTTTTTTTTTTTTTTTTTTTTTTTTTTTTTTGTGTGTGTGTGTGTGTGTGTAGTGAGATGAGTCCACCTCATCATACGACGAGGCAAGCCGAGTTTATACACTGTCACATCACAACAAATGCAGGAGATTCGGAGAGTATTTGCACTTTACAAACACCATATATGAGTCCAACAAACCAAGTCAAAATCCAAGATAAATAACAGGGGAACTCATGCATTCACTCAAATCCTCGAAGAAATAATGATGTAAGCATAACCAGCATCCCATCACTTATCTAAAAACAGCAGGACAGAGGGTATGGAAAAAACTCTCAAAGCTTGTTATGGGAAAAGGAAGAAAAAGGGAAGAAATGAAGAAATGGGGGAGAAAAAGGAGAAAGGAACGAGTGGATTGCATTCGAGTAGGGGACGGAATCCAAGTAGTTTGCGGGCACATGTTTAAACCATTCATTCAAAAGAAGAACTCTGCATATGAAGAAATAAAAACAGAGAGGGGACATTTCTCAAACATAGACAAAGACATACAACAGAGAGCGGACAATTTGGAATCTCAAAATGTATTTTCAAACTCTCGAAAGAGAACTCTGAACAAACATTATGCAAAACAATTATTTTATGCGAAGACTCCAGACCCTATACGTTGACAATTCGTGTCATATCCAAGGTTTCATCAGCGCAACAAGAGCTGTGATACAATCTCATAGAGGGCCTAGCTTATAATTCCAGGCTACCTGACATATCAAATCAGACCAACCATGTGTGCTCGAAAAGCAGACCAATAAAGAACCTCAAAATGGACAAGGATTAATACTTCCATCCATTTGAAGGTAGCCAGTCAAGGAACTGAAACGACGACCCGATTCCTACCCAGAGAGACGGCCAAGGCACATTGCATCAAACATGCTAACAAAAATTCCACACTATCGGGGAGATCGGGCCTTTTTTTTTTCCGGGGACATCGTGCCTGAATAACGCATAGGCCTGTGACTTGGCCTGTTCTCACAGGCCTGTGTTTTATTCGGGGCAGTCCAGTCCAGTCCCGTCAGTCCGCCGGCGTATACCCCAGCAGTTGTCTGTTTTCGTGATCATTCTACACTCGCACAGTTTGGAGTACGTGCGCTGGAGTCTTGCGTGGGAGCTGTGCTGTGCTATCTCGCTCCTCCCTCATCCTCCATCTCCATCATCATCCCTAGCGGAGCACCACACGTGGTGGGTCCGCTACATTCTAGGATTAGGAGGCCAGAACGGCTAAGATAGTACAATTCTATTTTTTTCATCGCCATCATTTCTATCATACACGTTTTACTTCATTCATATGAACCAACCAATGTATTTCAGGGACTGGTACATATGAATGAAGGAAAACGCGTATGATATAAATGATGGCGATGAAAAAAATAGAATTGTACTATCTTAGCCGTTCTAGCCTCCTAATCCTAAGACGAGCTCCATCTATTGGTGGGGAGCAACACCTGCTGGAAACCGGGTCCAGCGTCCCTGAAATACATCATGGCATTGGTTGGTTCATATGAATGAAGGAAAACGTGTATGATAGAAATGATGGCGATGAAAAAAATAGAATTGTACTATCTTAGCCGTTCTGGCCTCCTAATCCTAGAATGTAGCGGACCCACCACGTGTGGTGCTCCGCTAGGGATGATGATGGAGATGGAGGATGAGGGAGGAGTGAGATAGCACAACGCAGCTCCCACACAAGACTCCAGCGCACGTACTCCAAACTGTGCGAGTGTAGAATGATCACGAAAACAGACAACTGTTGGGGTATACCCCAACGGACTGACGGGACTGGACTGGACAGGCTGGTACTGACAGGGGTACCGGCCTGGACTGGACTGCCCCGAATAAAACACAGGCCTGTAAGAACAGGCCAAGGGGCTGGTCTCACAGGCCAACCAGAGGTCCNTAGCCGTTCTGGCCTCCTAATCCTAGAATGTAGCGGACCCACCACGTGTGGTGCTCCGCTAGGGATGATGATGGAGATGGAGGATGAGGGAGGAGTGAGATAGCACAACGCAGCTCCCACACAAGACTCCAGCGCACGTACTCCAAACTGTGCGAGTGTAGAATGATCACGAAAACAGACAACTGTTGGGGTATACCCCAACGGACTGACGGGACTGGACTGGACAGGCTGGTACTGACAGGGGTACCGGCCTGGACTGGACTGCCCCGAATAAAACACAGGCCTGTAAGAACAGGCCAAGGGGCTGGTCTCACAGGCCAACCAGAGGTCCGCTACACGATTCTCGGCCTGTGACGGATCACCTAGATACAAGCACGCTTCCGCCAAGAAGCGGAACTCTACCAAAGAAAAGGAAAACCTGAGTAGTCTAGGATGCGGAGCAAGCTCCATGCTGAGTCCATGCGATGCAACCTAGGATAGAAAATGTCACAAAACAGCAATGTCACAGCTAACAGCCTAAGTGAAAGCAGAAGCAACTAACTAGCATACATGTCATAGGAAAGCAGAAGCAGCTAACTAGCATACATGTCCTAGGAAAGCAGAAAGTAGTGACAACTAGATCCTAGAATGTTAGAGGCCGTAGCCTAAGTCTGGGAACAACCGACTAGTGTATAAGTCCTAAGAACAGCAAAAACAGAACAACTAAATCCTAGAAATGTCAGAGGCAGTAACCTCAGTCTAAGAGCAACAAAGCAACCATATGTCACATGAGGAGTGTGTCGCAAACCAAAGGGTGAGATGGTCTTTGAGGGTGGTGAATGCAGCCTAGGGGTCGAAAACTCCTAAGGGCATCCACACGTAGTGACAGGGGAAACACATGTCATCAGGCTCCATGAGGGTAGGGAACTGGGAGCGAACAGAACCAATGACCCTAACAGATAGACCACTAGGGCAGGTAATGCCCGACTAAGGGGTGACCGCTATGGAGGGTTGACCATGCAAGGGAACAAGGGAGCCTGGTATACTGGGCGCACCTAGATGAAGCATGCGGGGCTACCTAACTAGGGCGTGAGGGACGACAGAGGGTAGAAAGGTGAGGGGTAAGGAAATCATGCAAATGACTC